CTGCGTTCAACGGAAAACCGCGTGTGCTTCGTTTTTAGTCAAAACAGTACATCAAGTGTAGATGCTTTCACTTAGGTCCATGTCCTTTAAGGCGTCTTCGTCATTGAGTCAAATCTTGTCATACAACTTTAGAATTGATCAGCATTTGAGATGTATGTAAATTCATAAAACTGATCTTAACTATTTAGAGAAAGAATTAAACTTAAGTTATGTGATTTATTTTCCGTTAAGATATACTCAAATCATGTTGAACTTTGTTCCAACAAATTAGGTAAATTAAATTATTTATAAATGTTTCATTATAAATTAAAGATATTGAAAATAGAAAAAAAAAAGAGTTTGAAACATTAATCATTTCATGATAGAATTTGCAAAAAGAAACTTTGTTTCGTTTTGATACCTTTCAGTGTTGAGGGTAAAATATTAATTATGTTGGAAAATAAAAACATAAAAGATGATCTTTCATTCAATATGTGCTTTGTTATGGAGCAACACAACAGAGACTTAAAAAATCTTACATATTCTTAATACATGATGATTACACAATGAAAATAACATTATAAATAAGTTTATACATGAGTCTACATATGTATTAACATATTAATACTTATTCTAAAGAGATTAACAAGTGTGCAAAATCATGAAAATGGATCCCATGCATACTACCACGTTGAGTCTTCAAACTAGCAACAGAACATAGCTATGTGCATGAAATACAAATAGATTTCCACATGTCACAACGTCCACTTGTCAAAGCAAGCATTAACGTCAACAAATTAATTAAGTGAAAAACAAATTAGAGAGATATGTGGTGTAATAAGTCTTCCCTCCGACTGTGTGACCGAAATATCCAGGCATGTGCAAATTAAACAATCAATGCAAAAAATCCAAAGCTCCCCAACCTTTAATAATGAGAGAAAAACTCCAGAAGACGAAATTTCCATGTACTTTCCCCAAAATTTCCAGTTCAGGAAATATATATATATATATATATATATATATATGAAAAAGATTCCTGATCCAAAACAAAACAGACCCCAGAAAGCCAATAATGATAATTGCTCTTGGATGGATGCGTCAGCATCAACGTGAACTCAACATGATCATCAAAAAATGATGCTTGATCTGCTGTCAATATGCCTCTTTGGTGCTTAAAAATCTCCAGTCTCGACTCAGTATGATTGTTCTTTTAACAATTGTTTGGGAAGAAAATAATTAATGTGTTGACATAGAATAATCGAGCTGCTAGGGTTGGACCTCAAGCACAGTCCCTCCCTATGTTCCTCTTGCAAACAATTTATCCCCTAATGCCATCTGTGCAACAAGGAAGCATGCATTTCTGTAAATCAAATACAGAGCGATCTTATCCAAATTTTCTAATTAAGCATCTTATATATGACTCCTAACAAAATTAAACATTTCTTCAATTTTATTGTGAATTAACATAAAACTAAAATAAATTGTTTTGAATCCATTTGATGTTTTTCTTTAATTTGTGCCAGCTACTAGATTCCATGGAGCCTTCACATTTTAAACATTTCTGTAAAGAAAAAAAAATAAAGAAAGAAGTAATAAAATCATTTAATTAAATATATATTTATAAAGCATCAAAATATTTGATTTAATAATAAATATACATAAATTTTGTTTAAATAATAGATTCCAATATCTTTTTCTTTAAATAGAAAAATCTATAAGATTAACAAATGATTTGACTCCATCAATTTTATCGCCACCTTTATAAATTAATATGTACATGTACACGTCGATCAATTGTGCATGTCCTTAGTTTATTAGTATTTGTGGTTACTTTTTTTGTGACTAATAGATTAAAATAATTTCACATTTCATCCCTTATTTTCGTTGGATGAACTCACGAACAAGAGTTTTACGAGTGTCTTTTCTCCACAAGTCACGCGCTTCTAATTAAGTTGACACACGACTCATAGAATATAATGCAACAAACGGACATCGGCCGTTGCATTCTGTTGAGGCACCTTTTAACTAAAAAGGAATTACGTGGAGAGGGTTCTATTTCATCATAAGTTAGGTTCCGTATGATTTAAACAATCAGGGGTTCGTGTCCTGGTCTGAGAGAGCAATATAGGTAAAATAATTTTCTATTCGAGGCACGTTTGATGATGATGATGATGATCAGTTTACGCCAATACATCTCTTTACAAGATTATGGAAAACGCAGACAGCAAATTTGGTTTGAACGGCTTTAATTTTTCTTGTAATTTTTATAAGTTGAATGTTGTTAGGTTGGGGAAAACAAACCAAGTTCATTTTACGTCACTTTATGGACTCGCGCAGCGGACATTTGGGAAATTTCACTGCCGTCCGTCTGCTTGGTGCATGGTGAGCACACGCCGCCACCGACTAGATTGAACATTCTCAACAGTAGCAATTTGATTATTATAATTTAAGTTAATCTGGTACGCACACCTCGCCTACCGAAAAATTAAACAGTTTATTTTACCCAAAACCATATATCCTATTCATCCCCGTATGCGCACACCGGAAGTGTTAAATCTTATTAAAATGACTATGCAATAATTACATGGTTTTGACAATATAAAAGGTTCTTTATTTTTAAATGAAAATTGTTAATTAAAATTATTAAATACTACTATAACGCAACAAATTAAGGTTCGAAGTATAGAAAGTTAAATTAAATTAAAATCCACAAAAAAAATGTCTCTAGGTCCAGAAATACAGCCTGGTTGCATAACAAAAGGTAAAATTATCCTTCCCTACAAACCTCAAATATTTATAATTAAACTATACTATAATTTAAACTAAATCTTTATAGAACCAAGTTAATTATCGGATAGAAAAATCAATTTAAATGGCATATGAATGCAAAAGATTACATCCAGAGACAAAAAGGATATGGGCATGCCACCACCCAGCAGCCCACTACTGAGCGAATGTCTGTCGTATGAAAAACATTAACATCAATATACCGAAAATTCAAGAGATGCGTGATGGAAATAGGACCCAAAGGAAAATGATATACAGTTATACGTATCCGAAAACCAACCAAACTGACAAAAAAGGTCTAAAGCCCCGGGTGTATCATTCGACCGGGGAATGCCAGACAACGAAATTTCTTTGTGCTTTCCCGGTTTCCCCTTACTTCCTTTTTAATCAGGCCAAACCCTGACAAGGACAACCAGCCCATAGGAGGCCTGGTATCTCCAACTCTACGTGTCGTATGATCCTGGCTTTAGTCCGCCTTCAACATGATCCAATAATACTGACACGTCATTATCCGTACTCCGACGTGGCACTTGCAGGTCCCCGGTTTCTTAAGAGGCGGATATACGCTGCACGTTAAGAATAATTCTTCTTGGATATGCGAATATGCCTAGGACTCCACCCGCCCTTATAAAAACAGCCGGCTAGTGGATTAACGGAAATATCCCCCATGTTTGGAGAAATTACGGTTGTGCCAGGTTGAGCTCTGTAGTTTTTTTTTGGATAGTGTGACCGAAATGACCTTTTCGACCATGTGTCCTGAAATAATAATCCTGGAAAGAGTTGGGACATCAGATCATTAGAGATGGTGGATCGGACGGCGTAGATTTATAGATGAATATTATTCAGGGAAAATTGAATTTGGTGGGTCCTGATCACTACCAAGAAGTTGGCAGGTTCATAGGAAAACTAGAGAAAAATAAAGGTGGATTGACATCAAAAATCAAAATCAACTAATTTAATATTCTCAACCAATTAAAGCTTTAAATCCGAATATGAGATGAGAATACAAAGCTGATTCCTTGCAAAATTTGATTTATGTATTTTTTATTGAAGGAGTCAAAATGGTGATAAAGAGTGACAGTCAATTTTTAATTTATTATTATTATATATATAATTTGAAATATATAAATTTATAATTTTGTATGATTATCTTTCAATTATTCTTAATGTAAAATTTTAGATTTATTATTAATATTTTTAATTTATTTTAAAATAAAAATTTTGATTTTTTTTAAAAAATTAATTATTAGAACAAGCGAATTAGTCCATAAAAAAATGCAAAGAAAAATAAGAGAGAAGTCAAATGTGGCACTTTCCATGTCTCAAACATTTTTTCTCAAAAGAGATTTTGATTATTTTTTTTCATCTGCTTTTAATTTATCTCAAGCATTAAACATTCATGCTCTTTCTTAAATTAGGAAAACTTCTTTCTTTGCTTGTGTCAGGTGCTGAAAAACAATGTCTTTTAAGTTAACAATGATTGAAAACTTCGACTAAACGATGACTTTTTCCTAACTCAAGTGCATATACCAAATTCTTCTTAAGACTTGCTATGTCAATTTATTTCTTCTCAATATGGGAGACTTGCTCTTGTAGGGTTTCGCTTTTTAAGACTTTATTATATTGTTAATTTCAAGTTTCATATGTGAAAAAATTTAATAAAAAAAATCACAAATTTTCAATTTCATTTCATTGCCTTTGATATATTAATTATGACAAAAAACTACTAGTTATATATATAGATCATTTTATTGTGAACGCAAACTAGTTGTCTATTGCCTTTAGCGTCTTAATTGGGAAAAAGACCATAAGAAAAGTTAACAAGCATATTTCCACGTTCCTCCTACTCAATGTGTAGTTTTTCGTTTATTTGAGACTTGCACCATTAAAAAGAAGAAAAAAACCTACTATCATAATAAATTTTAGTAATTATTAATTTTCTAACAAAAATAAAATTCCAAAAACAATATACGAAACTGAACTAATTGGTCTATTTTTCTGAGTTTAAGGTTTGTGTCTTGTAGTAGTGGGAATTTGGTCAAGCTTAACACATGATAATTGCTGTAACCAGCATGTGTTATCGAGGGGCAATTAAGTCAACTCAAGAAACCGAGCACTGTATATAAAAGAGTAAACAGAAAACTAGTGAGAAACTAAGTAGGGGCACGATTGGAAATTCCCATATTTAAATAATTATTTCTCCAGTAGGACTCCTGCCGCTGTCATAGCTTAAAACGGTGAGGCGTTTTCATTCGTTAACAACTGAAAAACCAGAGGAGAAAAAAAAAAGAAAGGAGAGAAGAGAAGAGTTTGAGAGAGGAAAGAAAGAGTTATATTAAAACACGAAGCAATCTAGTCAGCTGAGCTGAGCCAGAGGTAATGATCTCTTTCATTGCTGTGTTTTGTTAAATGTGTCTGTTTCTGATTCTTGTAAATAGGTTTTCACCCTCTTTTCTTATACTGATTTTTTGAGTTCTTCGTGACGTTCTTTAGCGGGTAACATTGATTTAATGAAGGGAATCTCCCATGAAGCAAGTATGACAGACTGGGTGTTTTCTTTTCCGAATGGTCAAACTGTGTGTTGAAAAGTCCGAAAAAATTTTTCAGTTTGTCCCTGTTTCTGGGAGATTCTCTGTTTTTTCATGTGTAATCTGTATTCACACCTTGCGTTTGACAAAGCAGTATATAACGCTCGGTCGTGTTTTGTTTTCATTCTAAGTGCCCTTTTCTGAAATATGTTGCATTCTTTTAAGATTCTGTTGAATCCTCTCTTATTTAGCATCATTGATATTGGATTATGTGGACTTTGGATACAATCCATCCAAGGATTCAGTTGATTTTTATGTTAAATTTGAGAGAGGTTATGTCAGAAACAAAATCGGGGTCTTTTCTTTAGTGAAGGCAGGGAATATCTTTTTTAGTTTCTAAGGACTGGTTTTTTCACCTTAGAAGTTGAATTGAACTTTGACTACATTTTGATGGACCTTTTTAGCACGGTTTCTCAATTTTATTGGAGCATGATATAGTAACTTTGCCGTGCCTTGTTCTTTTTCCTTTTTTCTTTTGAGGAAAAAAAAGAGAGTAATTTGGGGACTGACGGACGGTAAATTTCATGGAAAATTAGCATCGCTGCACTCTGCCCTGAATTTAACGACTTTACTGCGATATATTGTGCTATTTCTGAGTGATATCAAACCATTGTTTGATTTAGTATGAATCAACATTAACTTGGTTGTTAGATTAGATTATAGTATCTCTTACAATCGAAAATTCTCTTGTTGGCTGAGTAAATATTAGTTTGGAATTGCTTATTGAATAACAGTCTCACATTGCTTATTGGTTTCTCAAATGTCCAGTTTGCTGTTTTTGGTCTATCAGGAGAAGTGGGAGCCGTACTTCTTCTTTATAGTTTTTTGAGGGAATCAAAATTACATGGGTTCACCATCTGAATTGCCAGCGGAGAGAAGTTATAGCAAGCCTCTTGGAATTCGATTCTTAGAATTCACTAAGAAAGCAAAGCTTTCTTATAAAACCTATCAAGCCATTGTCTTGATTGTGACGTTTTTTGCTTACACTAGCTACCATGCAACAAGGAAAACCACCAGCATTGTCAAGAGTGCCCTTGATCCCCAATCATCTGATGTAGGCTTGAAGTTCCCATGGAGGATAACATACATTAGTGAACCTGCTGAAAGCAAAAGACTTTCGTGGGTTCTAGGAGATGGTTGGGCCCCTTTTAATGGATCTGATGGGACGGCCTTGCTTGGTGAACTTGATGTGGCCTTTCTCGCAGTGTATGCTTTTGGAATGTACTTCTCTGGACACTTGGGTGATAGAATGAATTTAAGGATCTTTCTGACAGTGGGAATGATCGGAACTGGCTTGTTTACTGCACTATTTGGTGTCGGATACTGGGCTAAACTCCATAGTTTTTACTACTTCCTGATAGTTCAAATGATCGCTGGTTTGTTTCAATCAACAGGATGGCCTTCAGTTGTTGCAGTGGTAGGTAACTGGTTCAGGAAGAAAAGGAGAGGGCTGATTATGGGTATATGGAATGCTCACACATCTGTTGGGAACATTACTGGTTCTTTGATTGCTTCAGCACTATTAAGCTATGGATGGGGCTGGTCCTTTGTTGTGCCAGGTCTCATTATTGCTTTTATGGGTGTGGTGGTTTTCCTTTTCCTGCCTGTTTGTCCTGAATCGGTTGGAGCTGATAGAGAAGAAGATGAAGCGGATTCTCCTAGAAAGAATGGAGAGGGGGTAACAGAGCCTTTATTGGGCTCAGATACGGAGCTTAAGGAAAATGCTGTGGGGTTCATAGAAGCATGGAAAATCCCTGGGGTTGCTCCTTTTGCATTTTGCCTCTTCTTTGCCAAATTGGTTGCTTACACATTCCTCTATTGGCTTCCATACTACATTAGCCATACAGGTATTCTAATTTATTTTCTTTCACCATTCACACCTTTCTGCATCCATGTACTATCATTAAAAGACTGATTTCCTTGACCATAGAAAAAAAACAGGGCACTCTGTGGATTGTCGCTAGTTGACCTAGAAATATCGAATTTGTGTAGACCAAGATACTTGTTACCTTTTTTTAACCAACAAGGAATACCTTTTGTCTCATCAGATTGTCTGAAGCTGTTTCATAACTTTTGAATTGCTTGCATTTTGTCCTGAACTATCTCCATAGGATTTTTGTTCATCCTTTGATGTAAATTCAATTACTACATTAACATGCTGAATTCATGGATTCTAAATTGTTCTTGGCTGATTATAGATGATGCATTAATAATTTTCTTTTCTAATCATCAATCTTGCAGCGATTGAGGGAAAATATTTATCCAACGAGACAGCTGGAAGCTTGTCAACATTTTTTGATGTGGGAGGGGTGCTCGGAGGAATCTTAGCTGGCTACATTTCTGATCATCTAGATGCCAGAGCCATAACAGCAGCAACTTTTATGTATTGCGCTATCCCTGCTCTCTATTTCTATCGTAGTTATGGACACATTTCCTTGGCAATGAACATAGCGCTCATGTTCATCACCGGCATGTTTGTAAATGGGCCCTATGCTCTTATAACAACTGCTGTCTCAGCCGACCTGGGAACGCACAGTTCATTAAAGGGGAACTCAAAGGCATTGGCAACTGTGACAGCAATCATAGATGGAACAGGTTCTGTTGGTGCTGCAATTGGACCATTATTAACTGGTTACATTTCTGCCAAGAGCTGGAGTGCAGTTTTTACCATGCTTATGGGAGCAGCTCTAGTTGCAGGGCTGCTGTTGACAAGGCTTGTAGTGGCCGAGGTGGCTGCAAGGATTTCCGAATCAAGGTCACAAGGGGGACAGGAGTCAAGATCTGAAGCTGCAGAACTGGATGTTTGATTTATTGTAGGGGGCAATAGGAGCTCCGTCTGTATAAATTGTGTGATTTTCATGTCTTTCTTGGCTCTAGTTATAACATGAAGAGGGAAGATCCTTTGATTATGGCTTGGGCAAGGAGAAGATTTTTGTAGCCTTCTCCATGGTTTTAGATTGATACATGTTGTTTTTATTAATTTTTTTTTTTACTTAGTTAATGGAGGGAGAAGTTTGAGAAAAAGGAAAAGAGAAAAAAAAGGGCAGGGAGGGAGGATTTTCCAAATCCATCTGTCTGTACATTTTGTATGCTATAATATCATTCAATATTATTATTGTCAAGTGTTTAAGCGTTTCCTGATTGGAGCCGTATTTATTTATGCATCCATGGCCTACACACAAACAAAATATACCGCCAAAACAAAGGAGTGAATCAAACCATCAACCAGTGTTTGATAGTGGAGTCCTGTTGAGGACTGTTGAGGATCCACGTAGAGAATGTAAGACAACTGTTGGCCGGAAAAGCACGTCCAAATTTGAAAAGTGGTGCCCACATAGATGTGTGAAAGGTGAAATGGTACAAAATGTGCATAAATGCAGGGAATGGAGCGGGGAAAAAATTGGTCCACACAAAAGGTTCGTTAGCCTTCCGACCAGACGATTGAAAACAGCTGCTCTGCCCATGCGTTTCTCGACCACTAATGTTATAAACGTTCTCCACCAAAAGCTGGACCAGCCCACTGGACTTTGAGAAAGCTAATGCTTCTATGGTGATTGCTCTCAGATATGCCAAAAAGAAAATGCTTGTCCTCTTAATGGCTGCAAGCAGGCTGGTCCAGGTGCAATTGATGGCTGGAATTTTCAATCAATCATCCTGAAAGAAAAAGCTTGGGTTGGCAAGTTGAAAATGATGCTATTTCCAGGAGCAGGAGCTCTTTGCCTGGTTTATTCTTTGCCAGATTTAACTTGCGGTATACGGCTATCCAGACAAATGAAAACATTTTCTTAGACGCAAGCTCGTTTTCTGAACAGTCATTTGAACATATCAATATCATATATATATATATATATATATATATATATATATTATAAGAAAAAAATTTAATTTTTTAAATAAAAAAATACATGCTCTAATTATTAATCAAATGTTTCAATATGAAACTTCATAACCTTTTGATGAAATTTTATAACAATGAAACAAGACATGAAATTTTAAACACTGATATCTAATCTTAAAATATTTTTAAATTTTAAGTTTCAAGATTATTCTAAAGATATGAGGAGGTTAATGGAAAATTTTCCTTAACCAAGATTATAACATGGTGACAGTAAATAGATGATTTGGCAGGGTTTTATGCCGTTTGTCGGTTTTAACCCCAGCGGTTTACTGGCTCTGTCACTCACTAAGAGTATACTAATACTAAAATGATGAAACCAACCTTTGGTCCCTTAATTAATTAATCAATCTGATACTGATTTTTGTATGGACCACGGATATCAAGATGATTTCTACTTTTGTGCATAAGCCACGAACTTAATTTGATTACCGTGTAAACCACGAAATTAAAAAATTATAAATTAAATATTAATAATTTACGAATTACGAATCAAATTTTGCTTGGTGCGTCAATCAACATAAAATAATATTAACCCAAATTCCTATTGATCTCTCAAAATCAGTTGATTAATCATTACTTTCTTTCTCTCTGTCTCTCTCTATTAGAGATTAGAAAATTGATTCTCATCCCTGAACGACACATAGTGACAACTTTTCTAAATTTTACTAATAGATTAGTAAGAAACGTGAAAACCCATGCTCTCTTTCTATTGTCTTTCTGCTTATAATAATATGCACCGCTCGTTTCCTGTCTTTGGTCTTTGTTACTTTTAATGGTGGTGGAATTTTTCCATCAAATGTAACAAAGTAATCCAAATTAGAGAAGAAGAAATGGAGTACATGGCCCTGTTCTGGACCATTAACCCAATAACACATCACGGCCCCAAATGAAAATAATGAAAGAAATAGACCCAAACTTATTATGCTTTAAGGGGAGAGATATGCCAATTCTCCCAGAAAAGAAAATGATATTTTCATGGGTCCATATTTCATAGGCCGGCTGTGGAATAGATGAAAAGAGCCGACAACTAAAGAAAACACTAAGCCCGGTTGTAAGGGAACCTGGTGCTACTGAATGCTGATAACTGTCTAAATGAATCTCGAAAGCCATTCAAAGATCAATAACAAAGCTATTCCCCTTGTAATCTAACAAGTTTACAATACCCTGATGAAAACTGCTGCATTCCAAGATAACTGAACAAAAGAATAAACAATTTAACTTTCTACATAGAAGAAGATACATTTTGACTTCTATATGAAATTGTTGCTTCAGATTTACTGGTTAGTCGACTTTTATCATTTGGTTCGTTCCTTTTTTGCCAACTAATCTTTTGGTGTGCTTTGTAGGTAGGGCAAGGACACATAGGAAACGGGACAAAACGATTGTACCAAAATACAAATCATTGAGCACCCATGATTTTCGTTTTCTTCATTCTTAGCAATCATGAATTAAGAGCCTACTGCCAGCATTCGATTTTCAGCAAATAGTATGCCAGCAGCTAGAGCAAGAGAGTAGACTACTCAAAACTTGATGAATCATTGCCACCAGATTGGGGTCTTCAGAAAGAAGGGGAACTCATACTCAGAAATCATCATCGAGTCTGATTGAAGCTGTTGATTCCTTGAAACCCTTCGTGCATGCTCGAGG